AAAAAAAAAAAAAAAAAAAAAAAAGAAGAAAAAAAAAAGAGGAAGAAGAAGATGAAGACAGAAAGAAAGAAACATGGGTTTTCGGGCCTCATGGAGTTAGTACAGAGTATGAGATACTGAAGACTTGGAGGGTTTTAACTGCTGCCTGGGTACATACAATATTCCCAAAGAAAGTTTTTATTACCTTTTCCCGAGTAAAATGTACTTACCGACTGACAATTCAAGAAGCAGATCACCATAACAGGATGGAAATTGATTGCTCATCTATCATGCACAGCCTTAATTTGAGTTAATTCAAAATTCCAAAAAGCAGGGTCTCTCTTTTTTTGCCTTTTCTCTGAGGAGTCTAGTTTTCCTCAGACACCTTCACTCATCCATACAATTGATTTTTCATTTCAATTACATATCCTATAAGACCTGCAATATTCGTTCTTTCAGTTATATTTTCTTTCTAGTTTTTTTCTTTCTTTCTTTTTCTTCCCACAAAATGATTTGGCTTGAGATTAATCTAGTACCACCTCACACTACCTTGTTCTACATTAAAATCGTCTTATAGAGGATCAATTTATAAAATTGAATGTTTTACAAGTAATACACAAAACATACTTTGTTTCTTAGTACTGCATGTAAAGGAGAGATATTTGTTTCTTACTGCTGATGTGATCATCAAATAACATTAAACATTACTTTGACCAATTAATTTAAAATGAGTATTTTGCAAAAAGTTAAATCTTTAAAGAACTTTCTTTCAGATTCTTCATTTTCATAGTTTATGAAAGTATTTAGTTTTTTAATCATTTCTTACAAAATTTAATATTTTAAACCAGTGAACATTTATAATTATAAAACAGCAATTTTCCTTGTATTTTTAAAAATACACCAAAACAGGAAAGAAATTTATTACTATTGAAAACAATTTAACAACTTGAAGTGAATTCAGACATTATTGTATTAATCAAGTACCTAAAAACTGCAATAGACTTCCACAAATCCTCTTGCCAGAACAGTTTTAAAATCAAGATTGTTAAGACATACTCCAATATTCAATGATTTTTAGCATTCAGTAAAAGGATCACAAAAACCAGGGCTGAAGGAAAGCAGAATAATGGAAGGGATTATAAAGGTATTCAGAAAATGCCAGCATTAGATGATGTTTTACAATTTATTATGAACCATTGAAAGAAAAAGAGCTCAACTTTTAAGACTAATTGAATGCAAGCAACAGAAATTGGAAAGTTTTCCTTTTATATCATCATTATTCTGATATTTTTAGCACGACACTTGTAATTCACTTGCAAAATAACGGAACTTCCAATTAATTTTCTTAGCAATTGCATTTTATTATCCAATTTGCACTTATTGCTGGATTCTTCACATTTCACATCAGATGAGGATGGATTACAACATCTTGGTTTCTATACATTCATATATTTCTTTTAATAATAAATGATTACAAAGAATATGAGAAATAGTAAAAAAGATTAGGTTATTTTGATAATTTTGGAAAAAAATATTACCTATGAGGCAAGATTTACAAGAATACATAGTAAAACTGGTTTTTAATGTTTGCGTCGTTTATAGTTACTGCCACTATTGGGAGAGTAAGGGTGATTTCTGTTAGACCATCCTCCCTGGAGACTTCGATTCGAAAGATTATTATTAAATTTCAGGGATCCTCCCAAGTACTGAGAGGCTCCTCCCTGACTGGAATACATTCCACCTTGCCGCACAGAACCTGACAACAAATGCTGACCCATGAAGAGCAATGCATCGAAATTCATTGGATTCATTGGATTCATTGGACTGGAAGGGGAACTGCCATGCGGCATGGCAAATCGTGCAGGAAGCGACTGACTCCTGTTGTGACCACTATCACGATTTGACTGGTCTAACTGTATTCTATCAGGGTTTCTTGACTGCAGCCTTAATTCCTTTCTGAACAGTTCTGTACCCTCAAAGAGAGCCAAAGCGTAAGGCACTGAACATTCATGTTTGTAAGTCACAAAACCAAATGCACGTTGCTTTCCTTCTCTTGATTTTGGTATTCGTACGCTTTGAAGTGGCCCAGCCTAAAATCAAAGACGATTATTAGCATACACTAATCAATATAATTTGAATTTTTGAAAATTCTAATCTTCTTATTATGGATGATATTTTTTATGCAAATTTAATAATTCGAACTTCAGTAACTAAATCACTTCAACTTCGGTAAAAACTTTAATAATTCGGTTTAATTTTTAAAAAATGATAGTTTCCACCACTATTCAAATTAATGACATGTTGTGAGGTATAAAAATTATAATAATAATAATTTAGAAAAATGACTTTCATCAATGGTGTCATTGTATTCTTAATATTTAATAAAATCTCAGGTTTTGGATAAAATCCTTCATTATTTTCTAATAACCCTGCAGAAGAAGTTTGCACTAAAAAAATTAAGTTGTGGAACTAACAATTAATTGTTCTCTAATGAAAGGCAGTTGTTCTTTATAACATTCTAATTTTCAGTGATAAATACTACTACATTAACAATGTAGGCATTTGATTTCTGTCCGCGAGCATTAATTAATTTTTTGTACTAGTCATTCATTATAATGACTAGACAAGGTACTTTTTAATTAAAATAATTTTCTGTCAGTAATGCTAGATACTATTGTATTGCCATCCACATTATATCATACAATGTATATGTACATGTGGACAATATCAGTTTGACAACTTCACATCCTGAACGGAATAGTAATACTGCATCACCTAACGAAGACTTAAAAAATTAGAAGTCGAAATGTTGTAATAAATATGTAAATAGTTACCACATAAATAGTTACATTGTAGTTTGTGTTAACAGTTATATTACAAATTGTATAAATAGCTTTTTAGCTTTTTTCCCATGGTGATCTGTTCTAAGGTTATATGGAAACTTCAGAAATCTCAAGTCCATATGATCTGAATATTTAAGTTATTACTTTTTATTGGAAGTATTGTTTTTCTCAATTGTCAAAAATGATGAAAATGGTATGGTACTGACCACCTATGTTTTAGAGATACTACCAGTCTTTACATTCATATGAAATTTTAAGTAACCTCTTTTGACATGATTCTAATGTCTTGAATTTGATGAGAAAAAACTGGCAAATCCAAGTTTAAGTTCACCATAATTTTACATAAGTAGTTTACATATTCCTGAAACAATCATGAAACATATTACATTTCCCTGTTCAGATGTTGGCTACACACACAAGTCCTTACATCGATAACCACCTAACTCCACTTTCCACGAAAAATTTGTTATTGTATAAGACCCTACATTTTAACATACTACATTTAACATTTGGGAAACTTAACAACTGAAACTAAATCTTCCTAGGAATGTTACGTCCCAATTTTTTTGTGAGTAGAAAGAAAAAGAAGGGGAAAAAATTAAAAATAATGAAGGAAATGATATGCTTGAATTTTTCAAAATTCATGTAATTATACATTTATGTATTAGTTTCCTGCAATAAAAAATTAATTGAATTTAGAAAGACAGTGCAGTCATTAGAAAATTTGTCACATTAATTTTTTAAAAAATAATTCTCAAATTTTTCACTAGAAACTCCATTTTTGAAAACCAGTTCATAATAATATTTCCTTTAGATTATCATGAACATTCTTGTTAAATGAGCTATAGGAGCAATACAAATATTGAATGAAACCATAAATCAGAACCATTAACAACCTTGTGGGATAATAATAATTTTAGTTTTTCAGAAGGAAATTTTGTTGTATACCAGATGCACTTCATGGAAATAAACAGAAATATAGTAAATTGAAAGTAAATTAAATTTCTGCTGAATCTCAAAAATCCAAATTTACACAAGAAATCTGAGAACAAAGAAAGATTGTCTCATGACTCCAAAATACTTGTTAATCATTGTGAATATTAAATTTGGTCACTTTGTAAGATAACATGATAATGATACATTTATACAAGGAAGATTGTGATTTGTAACTACATCTACTTGGAAAATCCCAATTCGATCAGGTTTTCGTCCAGTTTGCCTGATCCTCGAGCAAATGCTGAGATGGCCCCTTGTTTTGCTTCTGGACATAAATGTAACTTCAAACTAACTTCTCCCCATAGCACGTCATACACAGTTTTTAACATAAATAGAATGCATTGCAAGGGGAATTCCAGATGCTAAGTGAAAAAAAGTGTGATCAAGGTGGGGAAGAAGATATGAGATAAGAGGCATTAGTAATAATAATAATAATAATAATAATAATAATAATAATAATAATAAAAATGCTTATGGCATTTCGTTATTACGTTAGCTTATGGTTTTCGTTAAAAAGGAATCAAATCATGAAATGAAATTTATACAAAAGAATTTCTTTTTAAACTTAATTTCAATTTCTGTGTTGTATATACACATATACATACACATTTTATCTGAATAATGTTTAACCGAATTTGTTACCATAATAACACCACTGTATCCTTTTCAACATTAAATACTTTATTTTGAATAGACCTTTCAATGAACATGATTGTTTACTTTACATTATTGCAATACATTTTCATTGGGTGTTTAAGCAAAAAACACACTTCGACATTTGTTCATTTTTTGGGACTGCTAGTTTTGTAATAAAACTCAGGCTTTCGGAATATCGTAAAATATCAACATTTCAATCATCATGAAAATTTGGGAAAAAATTTCAGCAGTTTCTGAAAAAATGTCCTTGAAATGTACTATTCCTTGCTCCCTTATTCTCATACATTTACGACTTTGATACATTATAAAAGTAGATTTAAAACTTTGATCTAAAAATGCATTAAAAGGATCTAACAATACTCTAAAGTTTAATTTTTGAGGAATCAAAAGTTATAAAGAAAAGACCTATGCAATAAAATTCAGGTTATTTGCTTTACCATTACAAAAAGTTGAAAGAATAAATTTGAAGACATTTTTGGAAAATCTTGTTCATGTTCACAAAAGAATATTCTTTTGAACACTTTGATCAATATATGGAAATTGTTTTAAATAAACGAAGTAATATTTAAAAAAAAACAACGTGGACTTGGATTCAGACCTGTCACTGTCCTAAGGGCTAAGTACTCCCTAAAATCAAAAGATCTGTTTTGAATTCACGACACTTTGAATTTAGCCAGAGAAATTATAAAATTTCTAATAGGGAAAAAAAAATCTTATGTACGGTTGAAATGCTAGTGTGTTCACAAACCAATGGAGAGATGATGAAAACTTTCTCAGTTCAGGTACCCAAAAAAACTTCTCTACACTGCATACAAAAGCAAGTACAAATAAGTGATTGTATTACCACACACTACAAAAGAACATTTTTGAGACTACATTTTTTATATGCCACCCATTGCTGAAAACCAATATTTAAAAAAAAACCTGATGAGAAAAAGCAAAAGCTTACAGCAGTAATTTAAATTTAATTTACAGGAAATTCATACACATTTATTTATTGGGGAAAAAGTTCTACAAATTATTGGTATTACTCTATGTTACATTGTCACAGAGTCTGCAAATCATGAAAGAACTAGGGGGATTGTAATACCTGTCATTATTAGCATCCTAACACCTTCAGGAGAAAACTCGGTACAGACTACACCGGAAGCAAAAGCTGTGCCCAGAGGACATGAATGGATAAGATAAGCTTCCAGGTTTGCATAAAACAAAATGTGATAAACTAGATCAAACGGGTATGCAACATGAAATCTTGTGAACAAGCTAGAAGACATGAATCTCGATTTGTATGAGCTAGAAGACACGAACCTAAATTTGTACAATATTCTGAAAATGTTCCCTATTCACAGCAACAAAATAAGCAATTATATACGTTTTTCCTGATGCCAAGGGAAATTCACTAAGGCTTACCAAACTTGCATAATTCAGGAGGGCTAAAGCCATTCAAAAATATATGGCACAAAACTGAAAATTATTAACAAATTGAAGAAAACTTGTCAAACAGAGATGATGATAGTAGTACACACGTAAGTAAGCATGATTATGAATGTTGGACATGCAGAACATTTTAATTCAAATTCAACACATACCCATACAAAGGAAGCACACATGTCAAATGTTTGTAATTTCAGCCAAATGTTATTGTATACATCATTTAACATAACCGACGAATACGAACAAGTTAATTTTCACTAAACTTTTATTCACGTTAGGACATGACACTTTACAACAAATATTCTAATCTCCTATCCTGCAGGAAATATTTAGAGAAAAAATGAAACCAAAGTAACATGTATGTTTTCTATAAATGAAAACTACACAAAATCAATAAAATACCAACAGAGTATAATACTTTCCCTTAGCAATTCCAATGCACCATAATCCATTTAAAAGACTCCTTGCTAATACTTTAAGTACAAATTTTAGATTCAAGGAAATTTTTAAAAATTAAATTAAATATGTCAATTCTTCACTACAGTGTAACTTTGACATTCAGAAAACTAACGAGCTCATTCGAGGTGAAGATATAATTATACGTTTACATACAATTCCATTGGTATCTTATAAACACGAAATGTTGAAAATCTACCATCATACCTGAAGAAACAACTCATACAGAATTTCTTCTGATACATTCTCTGAAAGATTGCCACACCATATTGTTCTCGAATCTTCATCCATGTTTTAAACCCTGTTAAAGCTGCAAAGATCCTCAGACTAATCAATAACGCTTCGTGAATTCAACATACGACACCCCCAGCAAAGGGTCCAGGTAACATATTACGTCAACAGCACTCAACACTGTTGGCTCAACAGCAACAGGTCTTCTCTTCTGTACAATCGTTTGCGATTATTGTGAAGTGAATCTGTATGATGATGCGTATATCGCACAGAAGCTCTATTCGCCTCGATCTATAACTGAGTCTCAGAGCAAATGGCAGAGATGGCGCCACAGAGCCATGGAGAAATATAGAATCAGCGGGGAAACTCGTGTGGCACCATCTACAATAAAGTATAGGAGTTAAATCGACATTGCACTCTGTGGCCAGAAATGGTACTTCTTGAGCATTGAAGCAGGAGCCTCAATCTACTATTTGGACATCCAATGTAAATATTTGATATTAACCTCCGTAATATCATGTATTCAGCTAATTTTGCGCCTGTTTAAAAATAACAAAGTATTTGGGGTTGGGAAGAATGGCAATTATAAATAAAGTTTGTTTATAGTATTCATAAAATATATTCTGAAAACAATTTTAACTAATAATATAGAGCAATACAACACAGGTACAGAAAAATATTCTAGAATTGTATTGAATTGTATTGTATTGTATTGAATACACATACATTATTACATTACTATGAATTGCACATACAATACATTATTAAAACAACTCTTGATGTACACACGTCTACAATTATTTATCTCCAACTTTTCAAGTAACAACACAAAACATACATATTTTTTATGTGGTACAATTTGCCTAAATTATTTTATATCAACATCAATGACTTGCACATTGGATCAGATGTACTTTGTCTTTAGAAACATTTTTTGTCATTACAGCGAAACTGCTAATACACTAAATAATCATAGTAAATGTAGATTGCCACTATTCACACATCCCAATCAACTGAATTATAGAATCAAACCGCATTCATCACATTACTTGTAAGGAAAATGCAATCTATTAGCGTATTTACACTTTGTGAATATCCATTTCTGATAGTTTAGAAAATGATAATTTGGCAAAAGATTTACCTAAGTACCACAAAACAAATACATTTGGAATTTGTATGGATATCATAGCACTAACATATTTTTTAACATTCTGTCTAATAAAATGTGTTTTTTTAATTTGTAATTAATGAATTACATACGCCTACAAAGTATATTATTTTGGCAGCACCATTAACAATCATTATAAATTTCCATGAATTCCTTCCACAAGATTGTAGATAGGGGAAGATATTCTAAATCTTCTATATTTATTCATCCACAAACACAGCAACATCATTTGGATCTAACGGTTATTTATCCTCTTCCAGATCTGCAGTTTAGCTTCGAAATGATGCATATCGTAATACGAATATAATTTGTTAGTTTGGAATGTATGTACGAATGCATGGAATGATTAGTTGCTGGAACTTAGGATTGTTGATGTATTTTCTTATTTGTAATATAGCCGAGTGATGGAGGTGAGTAAGGAGGTGGGGGATTTTGAGTTGGGATCTAAGTAGGTTGAAGGGTGTGGGGTGTGTACCTGGGAGGACGAAATATGAGGCAGAGGGCGTAATTTTCCATTCTGGTTATTTTTGAGTGATTTTCTTGGGAGGTGACAATCCAGGGGGAGTGCGCATATGCTATGACGGGGCGGATGTGGGTGTAATATGTTTGTAATTTCTTTTTCGTGGGAAGAGAGAGATGGGAGAGGATGGGGTACAAGGCGTTTGTAATTGGAATGACTTTCGTTCTTGACTGGTGGATGTGATTAGTCCAGAGAAGGCGGCGGAAGAAAGTTAGTCCAAGGTATTTTACTTCATTTTTCCATGTGATTGGTGCGATTCCATGCTATTGCAAAGGCGAGGTTTGGGCCGAGGTTGTGGCCGCTATTGCGAAGGAGAGGCCGCAGAGCAGCCCTCTCGGATTCCAAATTGTGAGATGTTGATGATAGGATCTAGAATGGGTGTTAGTCGTAGGAGTAGGATTTTTTCGAAGCTTTTGCTAAGGATGTGCAGGAGGCTTACAAGACGGTAGCTTGACGGGAGCCGATGATCCTTGCCGGGTTTGGGGAGCATGGTTACCCAGGCGGTGTTCCAGGTGGTGGGGAAGTAGGCCAATTTGAGATAGAAGTTTAGGATGAGAGTAAGGAAGTCTATGGCGTTTTTTGTTAAATTTTTGATTGGGGATGGCAAGACTCCGTTTGGGTCTGGGGTCTTTGTACAGTCTATTGTCTTTAGAATTTGTCGTACTTCAACGTCATTGGTCGTCCATATTTTTTGTCTTTCTGGTGATAGTGTGGGAGTTTTCAGGTAGTTGAGGATAACGTCTAGAATTGGGAGATTGGAGGGGAGGAAGTGGTTGGCTAAGGATTGGGCAAGGGTGCTGGTGATGGTTTGTGTATCAAATATGAGAGTGTTATTTGTTAGGATTGGAGATATTGGGGAGGGATGTTTTCGTACTGCGTTTATTATATTGTGTATGTTATTAGGGTTGCGAAAGTCATCGTATTTGCGAGCTTCTTTTTGTCGTAATAGAGCTTGTATCCATCTTTGTGTTTTAGTTGTCTTTTGTCCTTGTCGCGTCTGTATTTGTGATAAAGTCCTTGTATTCTTCGTTTATGTCTAATCGTGGTGAGAATTTCGTTAGGGAGGGTGGGGTGGTGGTTTGGGTTGTAGGTTGTTGAATTTTTATTAGATTGTCTGATGTGATAGGTTAGGTAATGTATGGATTTGTCTACAGATTATGTTGTAGTTATTTCTGGAGGAATGCGGATTTTCTTTGCAAGAATGTTCTTAAATTTTTTCCAGTTTGTTGTAGGAGGAGGTGTAGTTAGTGGAGTGCATAGTAGGAAGCTGTGGAGCGGGTGAATACGATAGGGAGATGGTCAGAGTTGTTGAAGAGGTAGATAATGGTTATGTAAAATTGAGGGGAGTGGATAACAATGTCTAGAATGTTGTGAGGTATGTTATTGTGGATATGTGTTGGTTCTGGGGGGCATTTTTGTGGGTTTTGGTTGAGAAAGTCGAGTCGTAATCCAGTTGCATTACTGGTCGCGCAGCCCCATGAAGTTGATTTACTATTTACGTTGCCGGAAATTATGAATGGGTAGGGAAGAGTTTTTTAAAATGTTGAGGTCAGAGGTAGGAATGGGGATTCTGGGTCTCTTGTAGCAGGATAGGATAAGTATTGGCGTTGAAGCTGTTCCTATTGCAATGGCAGTTGTTTGCTGGAAAGGGTACGGAATGTGTGGGATATAGCGACTGGTGAGGATGGCATCAAGGGGATGTGATTCTGTCGGAAGGAGATGTGATTGAATTGAATCAAATTGAATTAATGCCTTATTTTACGTGGTGAGACTCAGGCCATGAGGCCTGCTCTTCCGTCTGACCACGCAAATTTCGCTACGCTCCTCTCACCAACTAGCAGAGAAAGGAGATATTTCTTGGGCGAGAAACAGGCGATTTGAATTTAGTTCAGAGGCATTTGGGCTTGAGGATCTTTACATGCAAGCAAATCTACTAACATAGGACAGCGGGCTTTACTTACCTTCCGAAGGAAGGCGTACGAAGGATTTTTTCGCGGCTTCGATCGGGTTTGAACCCGCCAACTTGGGTATAACAGTCCGATTCGCTAACCGTTACACCATCGCCGTGCGCGCTGGAGTAATTTGGATGTAGTTTGGAATTTGAAAGAGTTGGTCAGGTGTCTGCCATGTCTCATGTAGTAAAAGAATCCCGACGAAGTATTCGTTTAGGAATTAGTGTAGGATGGGAATTTTCTGATTCAAACCGCCTCTTGCGTTCCATGACGACAGGGTGAGGATGCAGGGAGAGGGAGCCATTTTAGTTAAGGATTTCTATAATTTTGACACCAGTGGCGATGAATTTTATAACAATGTCCTCTCGGCCATTTAGTATTTATATGAGTGGTTTGATGTGAGCAATGCTTTCCTTGATAGAAGAATTTTGGAGAGGGGAAGATATTTCTTTTAAGTCTTGGACTGTGGGTGTTGGAGGTTGGGTTCCTATGTTGAATTGGGATGGATTGATGGCTGAGGCATAGGATTTGTTTTGGTTTGGTAGGTAGGCGAAGGATTGATCTGTAATTTGTGGGATGAAATGGATGAGGTTGGTTTCAATGTTTGCTGGCGAAAGGGTTTTGCTTTCACTATTGTTGAGCATGATGGGTCATATGCGGGGTGCGGTAGGGAGCATTTGATGCATTTAAGGCTGAAGGTGCGGTCAGATGTTGTGTGTGAGGGGCAGTCTTCTGTGGGATGGGCTTGTCCGCCGAGAGCACAGCTCGAGTTCCGTCGACAGTAAGCTTTGGTGTGATAAGAGTCTTTGACAGTTTTTACACTCTGGGATGTGGGATTCTGCCTGTGGTCCTGTAGTTTTCAAATGTGAATCTTTAATAGTCAATGAAGAATAGTTTGCCGCGTGCTTCTGTGGCCCTGTTAAAGTGATAGGAAACTGCCCCAAAACATAGTCTTTTCAGTCTTTGGTCACTAGAATTTGTTCCAATCTGTCTCTGATTTTTATATGTGCTGTCACAGTCATGGGTTGTATCAGTAGTTCTGTCCTTGTACATTTGGAAGACATGTTGTTGTTGCTTGCTTAGGTCTTTTGTCAGTTCAGTTGGGTCAAGAATGGAAGTCAAATCGATTCTGAATGGTCATATCCTAGCATTTCCCCTGGTTTAATGGTCTTTAGGTGGTTGGGATCTTTGGGAACGTCTTGGTTGGCCGAGAAAGTTGATTGAGGATCAGGGACTGAGAGAAGTTGCAAGCGGTTTTGGGTGTCTGATGGCGTGGGGACATTGGGGGTTTTGGTTTAGCTTCACTTTGGACAAGTTGGAAATGTCACCCAGGAGGGGTTTTTTGGAGGATCTGTTGTACTTTCGCGATAACCGAGTTGTGTACGGTAGGGGACTGGGGTGGGATGTCACAAAGTGACAATCACCAGCCATACAGTCATAGATGGTCATACGGTCATCTCCTCTCGTTCGTCCGTTTTATTAACCAAGATTTCAAAAGGGCTTTTGAAACTATAAACTGTTCACTTGTAGGCAAGTGACAATAACCACGGAAAACAGGTAAGATATTAAAATGGCTTAAGGACTACATTATATAGGAGGTAGTATGCGAAATGTAATAAACGAGGAGTATCTGGAGAGGCTGAGGTGAAGTATGGTGTGGCTTGTATGGGAGCAAGGGAGAGGGGATGGCGCCGTC